CTACCCAGGACCGTGTTTGACCAACCTGGCTGAAGAAAGCGCTCACGTTCCCACTCACGTACGAACGCGTGAAATTTGACGTAACTCTGCAACCAGAGTAGCTGGAATGCTGAAACTTTCTGAGCGCTACCTAGGATCATGTTTGAGCAACTGCGGGCGAAGGAAGCATTCACGTGGCCATTCACGTACGAACACGTAAAATTTGACATAACTGTGCAAACGAAGCATCTAGAGCACTGGATCTTCTGGCATGGATTGGGAGTCATTGTAATAATTTCTAACAGTTGTGGTGGCCAGCCCCAATTCTTTTAGCTAGAAGCATCTGCCAAGAAAAACGTGCCGCTGGCGAAAAAAACCTGCGGGGGGAACTGCGCAAAAAACGCATCCTCGTACCGGCAGCGGGTATCTTTCTACTAGGTGTTTGAGCTGGCACAGTGTTAACTGCGAACTGTGCCGCGATCGCACGCGCGACGCCACGGTGCACGATAACTAAATTTGTATTTTTTAGCCCGTACAGAGCATATCCCAGCAAAGTTCAGCTTTTTGTCCTGCCTGTTTCGCGAAATCGTTTCTGGCCAAAAAGTTTATACATTGCGGGTCCGTTCACGAGGTCTATGCGCACATGAGTGCTGTTTTCAAAGCGGGGGCTGCAGACGAAGATAATGTCTCCCCAAAATTTCAGATTCTTAGATTTTCTGGTTACGAAGTTGAAAATGGTTGACAAAATTCACTCCTCTCCGAACATACACATACACATGCACTCAGACGACCTCTCGACAGTATGAGTTTTGCATTTGCATAGTACGCACAGTGATAAACTTTTCAGTGTTGTCGTGGAACTATATGAATTAGCATTAGTACTTACATCCTGCCTGCAGACGATTCTTGAGCACTTGCGCAACTGTCCAGCGAGACCGCTCCCAGCTCGCAGTCGTTACGTCCACCGGCGCTCGAACTTCCCAGCCACTGCAATTCATAACCGAAATCAATGGTATGCTGAGGACAAAAGCAATTAATTAGATAGCAACACTTCGCACCCAGAAACGTGGAATCCCCCCCCACAGCACTTACAAAATCCACTTTCAGCTTGCTGTAGAACAGTGGCTTCATTCATCTTCCAGATGATAGCGACAGCAGCAAAAGCAACCTCCGGAGTCAGTCATACACATAAAACACATGCATCTACACATACACTGAGACAACGTCTAACTCAATGTGATGCACACGAAATTGTCGGAACTTCATAAACGCCTAGAGATCCTTCATCTATAATATGTGAACAAACAGTACTTCCGCCTTCCGTTGGTACCACTGCGCTGTTAGCAAGCAAAAACTCAAGACAGAGCAGCGTTTGGCATACGGATGGATCGCAAGAGATTATTTCAGTACAGGATCGCAACTTCGGTGTTTTAGCCAAGAGCCTAAATTACAGAAGATTTGATACACGACTTCCTCAAACCTGTAAATGGGAGTGCTATTCCCATTTTGTAGCATTTCCTTATCCTACTAATCAGATATCACATGGGAACTTTAAAAAAAAATGGGATAGGAAAGGATTCTATGATTAGTGAGGTCATGCATATGTGATATGCTAGACCTCAAAACAAAGAATATTATTGTCACACTCGGCGCGCTTTTAAACCCATTGCGCCGAAAAACAAAAATAACAGGCCAGTCGCGCACACAAGTGATGCCGCACTTTACAACATAAAAATAAATACTATGTTCGGCATGATCACAGGCTCACTACTCTAAAATCAAAAATAACATACCAGGGTAAGCGCAGTTTACAGCCCCTCGGGGCCAGCTACACCTCTCCTACTCCTCCACGCCCAAATCCTCCCTCTGTATAAGCTTAGCTTTTTGACATAGAGCTCATTCTCCGCTTCACTCGAGCTGGGTGGCGGGGGTGAATTTTTGGCTCACCTGCCCTCAGCTTTCACATTCTTTGCCCCCTTTTTATTTAATTTTACTTCATTTTATTTTGATAAACTCCTTCCCCCTTTTACTTTATTTTATTTTTGATGAGTCCCCCCCCCCCCTCTCCGGGTTGAGCGGTTAGTTAGGGGCTGGCACCAGG